CTAATTACTAACATTTAACAACACACCTAATGTATTTGTAAAAATATCCGCTTGTTTAATTTTTCAAACTAAACTGGAGTTTATAATATTTGCTATCAAGTTCATAAAGTTAGTTTCCAACTTGTTTTTCCACGTTTTTAAATAGCTACCGTTAAAAAAAAGTTTAGTCAGTTCGCTTTTTATGTGAAAGGAAAAAAACACATCATTTCCGCTTTTGCGCATCACTATGGCAACAACCCACCTGTTTATAGCCGGAAGTGAGCGCACAGCTAGCCGCGGTTCGTATGAGTTTTAAAAACCCGTCACATATTATTTATTAAAACGTAAATCGCTCAGCTGTAACTGACGTCATGGCCAACTACAGAGTGAGTATTTAATGAACACAAAATATTGGGTTTATTTCAGTCATTTAACTATTTGTTTGAGCTTAAGCTAGGTTAGCATTAGCTAACTAGCATCCGGTGCATTGTGACGGTGAACAAGTTAATTTTAAAGGTTGGACAGCTGTTTTCTTCTAGTATGTGATATCTATCGGTGATTACTCGACTGGAGGATGATGTGTTGTCGGTTAATCGGTCGGTTTTTCTGTTTCAGGCTTCGGAATCGAAGCGAGAGCAGTTTAGGAGATACCTGGAGAAATCTGGAGTTCTGGACACTTTAACAAGCGGTGAGTGGAGAGGAAACCTCTTTAATCTGAAAATGAAACAGATTAATTCATGTATTGTTTTTAAAATCTGTTTCTGTTGCAGTTTTAGTGTCGCTATATGAAGAACCAGATAAACCCAACAATGCACTGGAGTATCCTTTTATCACCTTTCTCCATCGTCCAGTGGCGGATCTAGGATTTTATCAGTGTGAGGGGCCATGAAGGGGCCACAATAATCACAGACTGAACAAACATTTTTTCAACATCCTTCCACACAAATTTCAAGTTTTTGTAAGGTTTATACATTTAATCAGTTCAAACACTTGTACAAGCTTGCACAGTAATTTCTCATCAATTTTGATTTTTTTACTGTACATAAATAAAATACTCTTAAACACACAACATGCAAGAAAATCTAACCATCTTAAATAAACGTTTGTTTTGGTGTCACTGATCAAGAAAACTTTTTTCTGCAGGATTGTTCAAATTGAAAAAGACTTCTGTAAACTTGCTTTGACTAGACTCACTGGCGCCACTCGTGGCTGGAAGTGGAACTGCGGCCACCATCATTTGTGACGTTTCCATCCAACTCAGTCCAATTTTAATTTGAATTTTGAGTGAATTTTAATAATTTCGCAAAAAGGAAAAAATTAAGAAATGCGAATCAGATGGAGTTTCCATCAAC